ACATTCCTGTCTGCTCCTTCCCAGATCCCACATTCCTGTCTGCTCCTTCCCAGATCCCACATTCCTCTCTGCTCCTTCCCAGATCCCACATTCCTGTAGCTCCTTCCCAGATCCAACATTCCTCTCTGCTCCTTCCCAGATCCCACATTCCTGTCTGCTCCTTCCCAAATCCAACATTCCTGTCTGCTCCTTCCCAAATCCAACATTCCTCTCTGCTCCTTCCCAGATCCCACCTTCCTCTCTGCTCCTTCCCAAATCCAACATTCCTGTAGCTCCTTCCCAAATCCAACATTCCTCTCTGCTCCCTCCCAAATCCAACATTCCTGTAGCTCCTTCCCAAATCCAACATTCCTCTCTGCTCCTTCCCAAATCCAACATTCCTGTCTGCTCCTTCCCAAATCCAACATTCCTCTCTGCTCCCTCCCAAATCCAACATTCCTGTCTGTTCTTCCCAGATCCCACATTCCTGTCTGCTCCTTCCCAGATCCCACATTCCTTTCCCTTCCCACCCCCCTAAAGGCCTCGGGGCTTTCCTCAGGGTCTTTCCCAAATCCTGGAAAAGTCTCCAATGCACATCCTGGCCTGGTTTTTAGGAGTTATCCTCCTCCACTTCCCAGCGCATCCATATCCCAAAATTTTGTATTTATCCCGTGTTTCCCAGCCTGAATTTTCCTCAGCTTCTTACCAAATTTCCATTCCCCGCACATCCCGAGTCCCTCTCTGCCTGATGGAAAGCAGGAAACCAAAGAATCTTCCACTAAATCCCTCATGGATTTCCTGGGATCGGCTCCTTCGTGACAGGGAGGCTCCCAAAAAACTTCCAGTGGCTGGGATTTTGGCCCATTATTCCTGAACTTTCATCTCCTTTGTCCTTTTTTTTCCATGTAGGGAGGGAAAGGTGACCCCGGGACCACTGGTGACACCGGGCAGAAAGGGACAAAGGTAGGACATGGATCCAGGGAAATCTCCATCCTTGGAGATGCCCAAAATCCCTGGGGAGGTGGCGGAACACCTTTGGACGGCACTGCTTGGATTGGGAGCTGGAGAAACGTTCTCCAGAGCTCCTTCCAACCTCAACCACCCCGTGATCCTGGGAAATCAAGGCTGGGACGAGCAGAGATGGGGAAGGAGCACCCAGCAGCCCCAGAATTCCTCCTCTGCCCTCATTCCCGGTGTTCTCCTTTATTCCCAGGGCTCGCGAGGCCTTCCAGGCCGGATCGGCGCTCCCGGAGCCAAAGGTGCCACGGTGAGCCAAGCCCAGATTTCCACCCTGCTCCAGCTGCCCCATCCCCAAAATTGTTTCACACACATTCCCAGGAAAGTTTAGTGATGGAATCCTGAGGAATCCACCCCATTTCTGTGGAAAATTCCCTCTTGGAAGGCCTGGAAGAGCAGGGAATCACAGAGGATCGGGAAGCTTTAAGATTTTTAGGGAATTTTGGGATAATCTGGTGTTAAAACTAAACTAAACCCTGCCCAAATCCCTCCTGATCCATGGCACAGAATTCTCGGGAATCCACCCCATTTCTGTGGGAAAATCCCTCTTGGAAGGCCTATGAAAAGCAGGGAATCACAAAGGATTGGGAAGCT